TAAGTGAAGATTTTAGTATGAAAAAACACTGTGAAATAAAATTCTTACTTAGGTTATGCATGAAAAAGGTGGCTCCGCGATATCGAATACAAAGTAGCAGATTGGAGACAGGATGCTTCACAAGTCGTTGAATAGAAAAAGTAGACTGCGATATCAGTAGAAAGAGAAATGTCTAAGAGAATAAACCAAGCTAGTTGCATAGATGCCTCTTACATTAGGTCAAGATAATGCGCAAGAGATGTAAGCAATAAGCTTATGAATTGTCTAAAAGCTTATGTCGCCGCGGAGGTTAAATGGCCACTGTTCGACATGAAATCGCCGCAATGAGCCCTCGTATAAACGATCCAGCCAGTTTGACAAGCCGTCTAGTAGTTCAGACTCTAGAAGAGGACCAGGAAAGTAAGCCCCGCCCTCTGAATAATCCTCGTTTGATGAAGAGCAATCGGTATCGCCGTCATCATCAGAACAATGAACACCCGAAGGGGCACGACGATTTCTTAGTTGGTTCGTTTCTTCTAATGTTGATTCGTCTTCTTCATCCGAAGAATGGAAGCCGAATACACGACCAAAAATGCGGCGTTTTCGGAGGCAACGTTGGCCAGATTGTACACCATGTGGAAGCCAGGAATCCTCGGATAGAGGCATTCGGATGTCAGTGACGCTGGTAGCTAACCCATTGACTTCCTCAAGAAGTGATGGTTGCTAGGTAGAATTAAGGGTGATAATAATAACTATAATTTATAGGAGATGAGAATTATAAATATTGTTATCAATATGTGTTTTCCAACATATTTAGATCCCACCAAATCATTAAGTATTAAAGGTTGGAGAGCAAAAGTAAACATTAGTTGAGGTTATAGCACAGTGCGGATCGTGAGAGAAACATCCTAAAGAGGATTTTTTAATGCAGGTATACTAATACAGTAATAATGCAGGTAATAAGAGTAACTGAATTTCGACGGATCTCTTGAAATAACACTGTTGGGGAGACGTTCATTTTGTATGAAAGTGCATGGAAAAGAGATTCGTAGATCGATCTCATCAGAAAACGACTGAATTCCGTTGTAATGAGATGTATTCACCCTATTTTGTCTAAGGTGATGAAGGACTGGT